TGGGTCACATAAGTACATGCCTGACAGCTAGAGTAGATTTTGTTAGCACGAGAGAATCTTCAAAGCCTGTGTGTCTGCCCGTTCGAGGTTTGAGTCGACTCGGTTGTTTGACTTGAATTTAAATTAATTAAACACCTTGAGATTTTATTTTCCTTTCATTAAAAGTTAAAGGCAAGAATTTTGACATGGTAATGATGCTTCTTCTGTAGTAGTGATGCTTTTTTAAATAGAAAAAAGTTGAGAAACACGGGATCTTTAATTATCATCCTCTATTTGGATCAAAATGAATAATTTTCTTGCATGGTATAATCCCATGCAAAAATAGCTAAGAATTTTTTATTTTTTCCTTCTTTGTTGTATAGGTGACACTGACATTACATGTGCATGTAGAAAGGTAGGGTGTGGTCCAAAATCGCACCACCGGCTAAGCCTACAATCCCTACCCAAGAAACCATACTTTATAATTGTTTGGTACAGCCATGTGATGCTTGCGTGAATCTTCCTTAAACTTCATTATCAGAAACTGATTAAAGATCTGTGATATGTTTTGGCTAACCTTGCATGACCTCTACAGCCCTTTATCACTTCAGCTAGCTAGCTCTCAAGAAGGCGTGGAGAGAAGAGCAGATGTATATTAGGTTAAAAGTTAAAAAAATGCAGGAAATTATTGTTAACTGTGGGAGTCAAGTTGGCCCTGTCCTTGACCTTTCTTATATTTGCGTGATTAACTCATCTTAAATAGTAAGTAGCTGCTTAATTATGAGTTTTCAAGCACGCAAGCATGCGCAGCTTCTCCTTAATGCGTGTAATTATCCATTATAATGCCCTTCTTAACTTCACTGTAAGGTAAGTTTGTGAATTAACCTTAAAAATAAGGAATAGTAGCAATAAAGATGGTTTTGAGATCCATAATAAGGCTCTAGATATTATTGACATGGACATAATTATGAAAGCAATTTGATATTATTAGTCTTGATATATGAAAGTTGATATGTTTAGTTTTAATATATGAAAATTGATATATGATAAATCTTGATTATTAAAAGAAAAATCAATGAACAAGTAACCTAATAACATCAAAAAATTATCTCAATGAAAATCAATGAACAAATAATTTAATAACATCAAAAAATTATCTCAACTCAAAAAATTAAATTATTAAATAAGACTTTAAGATATGATTTATATTATATTTTAATATATCTTCTCAAGTAAAATCTCTTTAAATTTGAAACTTGCACAAGCTAACTGTACCTTATACTATTCATTATTTTTAATTAAATAAATAAATAAAAATGATAAGATTTAAACTCGTGATTATTTGATCAATAAAGCTCAAGACTTGATTTACATTATTTTTTAATAAATAATATATATTAAAAAAACCGGTAGCAATACTTGCTTCTCGGAAAATAAATGTCTGCTCTGGCTCTCCACTTAATTGAGGAAATTAATAGAAAAATTAACGTCCTCAACAATTCCATATAGTATATTTATATAGCTCAAAATTTATTTTAATTTAAACACCATGATTAAGACAATACACGAGAGCATTGAATGTCAACGAGAGTGATCATAAGCTAGATGAATGAATCTAGAACTATTTTCCTCACGCCATAACATCATGTTGAGCACTTTGAGGACAACGTGAAGCTTTGTGTTCCCACTGACCAATTTGCATGGACAATGTTGCCTTTTTTTCGATGATTCAGTCTCTAAAATTGTTTGCTCATGTTAAGTATCTTCAATGTCGTTCCAGCTCTGCTTGAATCTTACCATTAGCATTTGGTTACCATTCAAAAGGTCCAGAGATTCATTCCAGTTTTAAGTGTGGAATCTTTCATCTTGAAGCTTACAAAGCTGCCTCTGATTTTGCAAACACGAGTCAGTAACTGAGTTTCTGCCCCTACTTGTGAGTGGGTCATTGTGAAGTCTTTCACCCGCTCTAGGCAAGTAGGCATGTTATACTGTAGAAGCTGGGACGGGATAGGGATTTTGGAAATGGGATTGTCAAAATGAGATTTAATTTTAGGGTAAATTTGAAAATAACATAAAATAATAATGAGTTTGTTGTATTTGATTAACTTTCGGTGGGTGCAGAATGTAGATAGCCTTCGATCCAAGGGTATATTAAAAAAAATAGAAGCTTATGAGTACTGATATGAAACGTCTTTCAAAATCCGGGGATGCCAAAAGCCCCCACCATAAAGTGCTTCTACCCTTGGATAGAAGAGGGTAAGGAGAACCAACCTATATTGTCTCTCTTTTGATAATGAGACGGGTCTTAAATACAGCTTCCACATTGAGTAAATTATTATTTAGTCCCTATTTTTTTAACAATTTTGTAAGTTAGTTTTTTTCCTTAAAAAAAATCATAAGTTAGTTCCTTGATCAGAATCGACGGTTGATTTTTTTAAAGTATCCAAACTACCCTTTTAAAATTATTTTTTGGTTTTATTTGTAGCGGGTAAAACTGGAAACTTTGACTAGAAGAAATTAAATTGTAATTGAAAACTAACCGAAGGACTCGACTGAAAAAAAAAAACTACACATAATTGAACAAAAAGTTCGAGAAGGCACGAATGGAGACAGGAGAAAGAGCGGTGGAGGTACGATGAAACTGTAAATACAGCGAAAGTGCTTCGATCGTTTTCATCTGCAGAAGCTGATGTAAGTACCCTGTCCTGAGCCCTTGATTTATTTGCCTGAGTCCATATACCATGTCAATTCTCAAATATTCAAACAGCGTAGCATGGGCATCCATTTCTTCATCTGATATGATATTTGAACGATAGGCTACATGCCCCTGGCGACTAATGAATTAAGTTCTCTCTTTTTTCATAATGTCCCGTGAGAATTCAAGAGAAATCTCGATAAATTCTGCGTGTAGGTCTTTGGACATAGACCTGACATACCGATATTTTAAATCCTGATTTTGACAGTCCGAATCGAGGACATGCCCTGATGAGCATATAAAATCCTGGAACAATGCTGCAACCCCTTTGATCCCTTTTTTTCCCCTCAAATTTTCCTGCGAGGATGAGGGAGGGGTGGATTTTTTTCGAAAAAAATCTTCCAAGACACTGAGACCGACTCATATATTAGGTATGTCGCTATGGATAGGTTCTGTTTGCCATCATATCCTCCTTCGAGACGAAGCTAATATCACCAACTCTTGCTCTCAATGATAAATTGCTTTTGGGGACAAAAAAACAACCACACCAGTTATGGAGTTCCATCTATCTCTTAAAGTCATGAGATTGAGATTTAGATCCAAACCAGCTACCACCCCTTGGAAAGATCCCCATAGCCCTATGCGGGTTAGCTTTTTTCTGGTCTTCACTCTCTAGCAGATAGACGCACTAGGGCTTCTTTATTGCTTTCGTTTGGCTCTTTTGGTGCATAAAGTGATTCCACCCACCACGATATCACTATACAAGAGGTTAAGACAGAGATATTTGGTGAAAATAGTTTCACGATGCTTTTTTCAAGACACCCTACATGATTAGATAGGTTCATGTAATTTTTACAATTGTGCTTGTGACATAGTCTAGTGAATTTAAAGTAGTAAAGATTTTCTGTACCGAAAAAATAATTAAAGGGGTTTGATCAATTTTTTAGTCATTGATGTCTATCGTTAATTTCTTTCTTTTTGACTGGGAATCTTTATTTATGATTGCGGCAATTAGTCGTCAAAATTGACTTCCTTGCTCATTTTGCGTGGCTCTTTCCTGCTTTTCGGCTTCTGCTTAGCTTTACCTCTATAAATTGATAAATTTGTGAAACATAAAGAAAATCTTCTTGGGAAGACACCTGATAGTACTAATTAAATACCATATCAATAGAACCACATGCTGGTCTAGGCCTTATCTAGAGAATTTTATATATTTAACATTATAGACATGACCTTCATCAAGCAATAAAAAAGAAATATAGAAGTCGAGCACTCCATGAATCTGTAGCTATGCCGGGAATTTAAACCAATGGTGTTGCACCAGCACGCCCCAAAAGGGGAAAAAGATGCTCTCCAGAATTCGATTCCTGCTAGAAATTATGTGCATGGGAGATGATTTGATGTAGTGCTTGAAAACCAGTTATGGGAATTCAAGTTGCTTAAAGGGGATGATTGTGGAAGGCAACAAATTGTCCCTTTTTAGCATCTGCTTCTACTGAGGAAAGGTAGGAGGACTTGGGAAAGCAAAACCCTTCTCTATATGCAACATTTTTCCTTTCAATGTTATATCAATATAATGCAACCGTATCTGTTCATCCAGATTAATCTTCATGCACCCAAGCCGCCATTCAGTTTTTTTTGGTAAAAAAGGGGGTCTAAGCCCAAAAAAACTAGAAAGAAAGAATCAGGTAGGTGTCTTAGCCGATGCATGCCCTACTCCATTCGGTTAGTTAAGGGTTCAAGGTTCAAGGTACTAAAGAGAATGGCCAAAAGTTCTGAGTACTTGCATTAGCTATCTGATAATAAACCAGAGAGATTGCAAAGAAGAAAATAGAGTTCACCAGCACAACTTTGCACTTTAATGCACAAATGTAAGCGAAACGCACAATAGTTTCACCACTAATGGAGTTGCTAGGTCAGTCGATTCCAATAGTTGCCAGACATCAAATAACACATGGAACATGTAATTCCCTGGATGAAAAAAGATACCAAGAACCATATGGACAATAACCACACAAATACACACACGAGATAATGGTTGCCAGACACCAAAAGCACAAGGAACAAGCAAATCCCTGGACAAAACAAAATATCATAATCTTCATATTCTTATATCCAATAATAGCCACCAATACACAAGCCTGGTGGAATTTGACCCCGGGACTCCTATCAAAACAAGAACAAAGGAATGACAATCCACAAAAAAAATAAAAAAAATGACATGCTTATCTTGTAGGGCAAGTGTTTTAGTATCTAAGATATATTGTGGCGTGAAACCTCAAATACTATCCTCAATCAAAACCGTCTTAGACTCTCTCTCGCTCTCTTCATTTATTGCTTATGCACTTTAAGTATCCACGTTCATGGGAGTCACAGGTCTCCATTACCATTCCCTTTAAACTGCACCATTGTGAGAAAAGGGTCCCTTAACTGGGGTATCCCAAGCCCACCATACAATAAAAAGTCCAAGGTGGTGAAAGCATTCAATTGCATGCTCATTAATTTTTGAGAAGATGGTATTGGGATCCATGAGCCAAAGAAGCTACGAAAATCTTCCATAGGTGACAGAGGATTCCTAGTAGATCATTCAGGGTCCTCATCACCGTTTGCGTGTCTAATAGGCAGAATCAGTGGGCAACGCGCCAGTGGCTCTCCGCACTCGACAAGAGCCCATTTAGAGCACGAATGTTGCGTTCAACATCCACTTGATAAGGCACTTCTTTGTATTCATGAAACATTTTCAATGTCAATGAGATCCGCAAGTTGTAGTGCATGAGTTGTCATATCAAAGCAAAACATGCAACTAATTAGCTATTAGAGATGTAATAACCCCTGTATAATCACATGAAAAACTTATTTAGGAATTTGCTGAACATAAAAATATTTATGGTCTGCTCTAATAGTAGCATCGAGAATATGACACATGGCTCTTAAAAAAATTCATTAATTATTTTAATCCTACAGGACGAAAAATATATAACCTACTGGCATTCAAATTTGCTTGAAATTCTGTTTTTTCCATGGTATACAATTACAGGAATCATCTGCTTTTAAGTAGGTTATATATGATAGTTTTGTTGGGATATTGTCACTTATATGGTAGCATCTGCAGCCCTACTTTAGAAGAGGATTGTCATTGTTAAAAGCCTACAATAATAGGTGTGTATTATCAAACAAGATACACCAACTATTGATAAAATAGTGCAACTCATTTGCTGCCACCATTTGTACCATAATTTATGGCCTCTTGTCTACCATTAAATTGCCTATAAATAGAAGCATTATTTGAGAGCAACATGAGAAAGAGTGGAACAAGAGTGAAGAAGAGAGAAGGGCTACAGTAGCAACAGCTACAAGTGCACCAATGAGAGCTGGGAGTTGAGTTGAGTGGATATGATCCTCCTCTTCTATATATTTGTATTGTAGCATTTCTCTATCTCTAATAATATGAACATCTCTTGTGGATTTAGATGAGCTGACCTGACCCGAATATCAAACGACCTAACCCACGTGATTGATATTTTTAGAGGATGACATCATCATGACGTAAGCATGTCATCAGCATGCACAATTGATATGCCATGTCAACGCCTAGTCAGCTGGCACATCATCATAGTGATACCTACCTACCATGTCATCAGATGCGAGCCGAGTAAAGTAAAGCCGAACCGAGTTGGAGCTGAGAAAAAGGATAAAATGTAACTGATCCTACATGCAACCGAATCTGAGATTGAATATGGGTCGCTCATCAGGCTAGAATTATTTTCAGCTAATTTGATCACTCTGGATGCAATGGTATGGTCTGATTGTTGAAATTAAAACCAAAAATAATGGTGGTAAATTATTAAGAGGTATTGCCCGATCAAGAGGCATTTAGCGGTCATCAAGGTGGTTGATGGAGATAAAAAAAAAAGAAGGTCTCACATGTTTTCCAAATTACATGTGCTGAACTGTTAAATGAGTAGATTTTTTAGTTGCCTTGAAGGAATGCAAAATTAGAACACTATAGACACCTGATCATGTGGACCATTTAAGGTGGAAAGTGGAAATTAATAAAGACCAATCTTGATGAATCTAAGCACTGGTAGTCTCGTCAGATGTTGAGAAATCAGGTATAAAACCAATATCTTCCAAATTACTTGTAAAGGAAAGCTGCATCACTTGTAAAGGAAAGTCACAACAAAGCAAGCAAATGGTTGTATATACAGCAAAGCAGTACAATGGATAGATATGGCCTAAAAGGTTCTGTCTAGGAGATTGGATTTTAAACGGGACTAGTATGACCCCTCTAATCTTTCCTAGGAACTTGCTTGGTTGAAGGATTATCCATACAGTACTATTTTTGTATATATAGCAGTTTGTAATGAAACTGTTGAAGACTAGCAAGATGACAACACAAGGGGAATAGTTGGGTTCTGTATGATCAAAGATATGATGTAATGGTGATTTCTAAAAAAAAAATTAGATTTGGTGATTGTGATTTCTCGAGGGAAGAATTGATGAAGACCCTAATAATGAAAGAAAAATACAGCAAGGGGATAAAAATTGGTATCCTATTTTGACTTGGATAAGTGTTGTGACAGAATAAGCTGTTGTCAAACATAAGCAAGGAATAAAAAGAATCTAAAGAACAGAAATTGCATAAGGGAACACGGGGATTATGTAGGAGTACCTGTAGGATTCAATGAGGTATTGTAATGAGACGATAAGTGCAAAGAGAAGAAGAGTTCTCATATGAAGCTTAGAGTAAAGACTGTGTAAAAAGTTGTATAACAAGAAGTCTCTTGTGCTCTTGATAAAGGCAACAGGCGAGGACCTTTTCAATGCATGTAGGGATGGAAAGATAATCTATTGCAGAAGTACCTAATTAAGGGGGTGCGACCACTTATGATGAAAGACGAATACACCAAAGAGAACTAGTATAGGTGGAGTTGTCAAGTGTGATGATGAAAGGCACACGAGCTCCAAACATAGAAATCTAGATACAAGATTATGAGGAGTGTACCGCAACTCTCTCTTTCTAAGAGATCAGTGGCAGTGATCTCTCCCAAATACCCATAGTGGTAGAGAATCTTATAGCTACTAGAGTCATCCCCAATGAAGAAGGATGAGATTGCCCTATGACGAGCGAAAACACCTCAAAGAAAGTTGTGTAGGCCATGATATGAGCCCAAGTACAAATCATCTCATGACGACATGCAAAGACTCCTTAGACAGAAGGTGTGAGGACTATGATATGAGTCTAAAATTAAATCGTTTCATGACTACAGACAGAGACACCTCAAGAGGTGTGAGGGCCATGATGAGAGCCCAAGTTCAGAACGCCCAAAGCCAATGCGATAGCTGGATATAAATGGACAAGTGTGTAGCCAATGAAGTGGTTATGATGAGTATGAAGACAAATATTGAATTGACTTTAATGGATATTTCCCAGACAAATACCGAATTGGCTTTGATGGATATTGCCCCCATGCTAAAGATCAATGAGCTAGAAGACATTTGCTTTGGACAATAAGTGGATGACTTATAAAGCATTAAGACGTGACTGCTAGGAATGAGTAGAGGGCATGTGCAGATTCCTGAAACAAGTTGCTCATGTTAAGATGGTGAGCTTGGTAATGACATTATAATACTCAAAGTATGAAGATAGATATATATATCAACCTTTAATGTACAGCCCCCATAGTTAAAGGTGGAGAGCTACCAGGACTTTTAGGACTAAGAACGAGAGACTCACGGAGAAGTAAGGCATGGTTTCTATGGTGGAATAGAGGGCAGACACAACTCCTAGATAAGTAAACTCTTGAAAGAGTAGTCAACTCGTGATCATATTGAGATACTCAAATAATGATTGTCGCACTTTAGAATAGAAATTTCTGTTTAAGGGAGTGTTACAAGCCTTGGAATGAGGCTTGAAAAATCATTCCGAACAGAACATGATTGATACACTTGAAAAGAAATGTTATATCTCAGAGACAAGCGTTAACACTTTTTAGATGTGATGTAGGAGACCATTTGGTTAAAGTGATCTTTTGGTGTGAGCAAGGGAGTGCTTAGGTGACTCTGGTAATTGAAAGGTTTGATAAGTACATGCAAACTTGGTTGGAGACGCTCTCAAAATGGTAAGCTTGGAAAAGCTGCAAGATCCAAGCTTATGCTAAAGAAGCAAAAGGATAATTGCCCACATGAATGGCAAAGAGGGTGATTGTTGGGATATTGTCACTTATGTAGCAACATTTGCAACCCTACTCTAGGAAAAGATTGTTATTTTCAAAAGCCTGTAATGGTAGGTGTGTATTATCAAACAAGTTGCATCGACCATTGATAAAATGGTGCAACTCATGTGCTACCACTATTTGTGCCATAATTTATGGCCTCTTATCTGCCATTGAATTGCTTATAAATAGAGGCATTATATGAGAGCAAAATGAAAGAGAGTGGAACAAGAGTAAAAAAAAGAAAAGGGTTGTCATTGCAGCAGCTGCAAGTGCAACAATGAGAGTTGGGAGTTGAGTAGAGTAAATGTGATCCTCTTTCTTCATGTATTTGTATTATATCTCTTCTATATCTTTAATGATATGGACATCTCTCATAGATGTATGTAATTTGTTGAACCACATTAAATATTATGTCAATGTGTTTAGCCTCCAATGAACAACTATCAGAACATTACTGGTCAGAATCCCAACAAGTTTTACAATATAAGTATTTCACAAACTTTGTAAGCATTCCTCATACCTTCTTGCCAAATTATAGAAAAGGATATGTTCTATAGCATCAATAAAAGCCAGTTTCTCATCATTTGCTTTCATTGTATATGTGATCCATTATTAGTTTCTCTTGATTAAAATTATAGTAATGAGATTGCCCTAAACAATTGAGTCTATTGGATAGTAAGACCTTGTATGGATCAAGGCTTAGAATGATAAAAACTTTGATGAATCACTTGAAATGCTCACAATTAATGATGATATTCAAGAAAATGATGACAATAGCATCAAACAATTTCAAACTTGCAATGTACGTGTTCATCTAATGGATGACTATTATAGAACTCTAATTATTTAGGTTGCTTTGATATCATGCAAACACATCATATTTTTCAACGAAAAAGAAGTTCAAACAAAGAGATGCTTTTATGATGAAGCATCGAGTTTATGAGGGTAAATCTCAAGTTCTAAACTATTATAGACTTAATACCAGGTCAGTCTGGAGATTTGAACGGAGAACATAGCTAATTGTTTCATATATTATTAATTAAGGAGTTTAGCATCTTACATTTGAAATTCTTGTTTCTTCCCCTAAATGCCTTGACCATACATTTATATGATCACATTAGGAAATAAGAATTAATACTAAAAGGGTTCTGGTATATGTTCAATTGCTAAAACATCAGCCCCTAGATTCAATAGCATGGTGCCAGTTTCTCGTTTCTCTAGGACACTTGGAACACTCCAAAATGGGATCAATATTATTGCAATTCAAGACATATTATTAATTTAGTATTGGTATTGCAATGCCCAGATATATAGGATATGATGCCATTGTTAAGAGAAGTATTGAACCCTGCATAAATGCAACGGTAAAAAAGGGCACTTACTGAGAGTCTGTTAGGTTTTGGTTCGGAGTGGTATCCCAGTCCCACAGCACAGCAGACATCCATCCACTTACAGGCTATAGGCACAAGTCTTTCTTTGCACCTACTAGGAACCCAGTATAGAATCTGCAATGTTAACCATCAGGAAAGAGTGACATTATGTGATCAGTTATAAACATCTCAGAATGAAGCGTGTAAAAAAGTCGGAGAAGAATCAAACGTCGTTGATATTCACACAACTGTCTCGATCATTCTTCTCGCAATCTTAAAAAGAAGACATTGTTCTTATCTTTCTTCCACTCGCATTCACTCATCACGCGCATGATAAAGTTGATAAACGAATGATGAATTGCAGAGGAGCGTACGCGTTACCTTTAGCTTGTGGCAAAGTGATCCATCGTTTTGGTATTTTTGAGTTGCTGTGGCTTCACGCCTCTTCACTCTTCAGTTTCCGAGGTGGTCAAAGTAAACAGTGGCCGTGGACTTAGTTTCTTAGATGTGGGCCTTAGCCCAAATCTTTTTTTTAAATGCACCCATAACTCATACAAAAGCCAGGGCTCATTCTGTCTTTATATCACACAACACAGGCCCAGTTTCTAATTTTTTATATAAATTCTGATAATCAAGTTCTTTAGTTTTAGATAGGCTATTTTCAGGAAAGAAGAAAAAAAAATCATCATGAGATTATAAAGTTTCTCCACGATCATTTATCAGATCTTAGATGGTCCACGCCATGCATAAGACAATAAAATGCACGACAAATATCTTCCTCGTAGCCTCTTTTAAAATATGATCCAAAATAATAATAGCAAACATAATTAAAGTTAACTTATTCATATTTTTTTAGTTTAATCTGGTAAATTTAAACTAATTTAATTTTTAAAATACAACTGGGCTCGAGTGATACTTCAAAACACAATGTACACGGTTAAATTTCTAATTTGATAAAATTTGATTACGAACTAAATTTTTAGTAGTGAATTGATAGACCCAACCAAACATAATAGAATCAACATTAAAAAATCAAAGAAAGAAGAACAAAATGACTTTGTTTTAGTAAATAATGTGAAAGAAACTGTCGACACCAAATTATGCTTCCATTTCTAGAGAGAGAAGCAGTTCGGCACTACCGTAATCAATCCATACCGCAGGCAAACGTTCTATTTCAAGTTTCAACTCACACGCCATCCGAATAATATTTTACATGTTGCTTCAGCGAAGATTATGAAACTATGAACAACGATAATGGGTTTCCACTAACCAGACGGATAAAATGCGATCTCCGCCGATTGAATTTCACGATCATGGTGTTGAAGCACCTTAAGCATATTCTGAAGCCTGTTACTTCCAAATAAGACATCCCCGCCCTATAGAGAGATGGGGAGAAACATCACAGCAAAGAAGCAAGTTATGAGTTCCTTTGAAATGCTGATTCAGTCACTGCATCAGCATATGCATTAAGACGTGTTTATATGATATAGAATTAGTCTCGACTCGTTAAGTTAGCTCAGTGCAGATAAGCCCTTGATCTACCTGGTTCGACCATACCAAGCTGACAAGGTTTCGACTCGTTAAGTTATGAGTTCCTTTGAAATGCTGATTCAGTCACTGCATCAGCATATGCATTTTCCATCTTGTTTTCTCAACTGCAGTTAAAGCCTCTTCAAGGGACAAACTACTTGCCCTTGGCTGGCTGGTTACGTATGTGTTAAGCCAGGGTATTTTAGGCATGAAAATATATCAAAATAAATTTTGTTTGAAAGCATATCGAAATTATTGTAAAGCATTAAAAAATCATTAATTTAATACTTTTTTAATCTAAATCAACTTTTAAAAAGCACTCAAACACTGTAGCAAACACAAAAACAATCGGTAATTGAACATCCAGTTTCATTCAGATACCTCATCAGGAAGCTTCCTCCCTCTTATTTTTTATTTAGTCCGTGAAGTTCAACACGACTAACTAATTATTACTCATAGTTTTAAAATCATTTAAAAGGGTGACTCCAGGATAAATTTTGTCCGCCATTATTAAGTGATGCAAAAACCAGGAAATTTTTCTCAGACAAAATCGGATATCTACAAGCAAGAAAATAACTTAAATGGAAATAACATGAACAAGAGAAAATAAATGATCCGGAAGCTCAATAAGTTACACCAGCTGCCATGTCTGCAACGATTATTGCGTTCTAACTTCTTTTCATGCAACACAGCATTACTCGTTTTCTTAGCATCCAGTCCCCATTCGTAATTGCTTTAACAATTTCGATTAGGAATTCAAACACAGGGACACCCTATCTGGACATTCACAATGATGCTGGTTAGTGAAGAAGAAATTTACTGGAGAATCAATGCTACAAAAGAGAGATAGATTTGGCAATCAGCTGAACTCAAGCCCACAACAAGCTATCACCAAGAGGATGCAAAAGTCATAAATGACTCTGCTCTACAGGAACACACCTGCAAACTTTAGAAACTTTCTTTCTTTCTGAAGGGACTTTCTCTACAATAAGGACAATGGAAATAATCTCTCAACAAAGTATGTTTCTATTGCTAAAGAATTAAACAAGCAGTCTAGCACTATTGTAAACAAGTCACACTAAAGGAAAACATTCTATTTCAGGATACACGCCATCCAAATCAAATTTTACAAGTTGCTTCAGCAAAAATTATGAAACTAAGGAACATAGTAAAGGGTTCTTATCAACCAACCTGATAAAATTGAACCTATGTAAGTCTCCCCCGATTGGATTTCCCAATCATGATGTTGAGGCACCTTAACCACAGTATTTCCAAGTAAGACACTCCCGCCCTCCTGCCCAATTTTTTTATTTTTCCATTTTTTTTTATTTTTTTTTTATGGTCTCCTTCCATAAAGGTTTGCTACTGACCTATATCTGTCAGGAGAAAAATGGTAAAGTTTCAACCATACAAATATAGATGAGAAGATTAATCAGCACCTGTATCCTCAACAGTTTTCTTATATTCTGGCTTAAGTTCATAGGTTCCTTGGTTTGTTCCCCGCTTATTGTACACACACAGCTCATTCAGTATCTCTTTCAAGAATTGCTGCATTCAGAGAAAACACCAAATAAATTTCACACATGAATACCCAGAGCAATATAATGGTATAAAAAAACAGAGCCGATTTGACAACCATCCTTCTAGAAACCAAATATATAAGGAAAGGGATTATCATATCTATATAAGCATTAGATAACAATGATGAAAACATAGGAGCTAACATCAATCATGGTCCACAGATCAACTAATCAGGTACAACCATATAATTTATGAACCATGGATTAACACTTATTTTAGGAAGTCTACCAGCCAACAAGCATCGGTAAAGGAAATGGCATTAGCAAGCATATATTCTGAAGAGCTGTTACCACATCAGAACTTTTTATCAGTAACACCTCTGTTATATAACAGCAAGGAATAGAAAAGGCATACCGCAGGTTGATCTGTTTCTTGAACAAGCTGCTTTAAGGCCCAATTTGGTTGTCTTTCAAATAACTTGAACATGATATCTTCCAATTCCCCACGATCCCTCCTGGTTCTCTTAACGTCCGATTGTTTAACTGGTTGTGTTCTCTTCTTATCCTACTCGTATAAAATTGACAATAAAGATTACAATTTTTTATTCTTAAGGGCAGAAAGAATGGATCTTTGGCTAATAGCACCACATTATTCTTGTCAGAAAAAGTGCTACCAGAGGAAAGCACTACTAGGAAAGTATACACGTTATCTTTTCCCATTACTAAGGAGCAGTATTGTTCATAACTCCATTGTTTAAAGCCAAATAAAAGAGAACTAATTTACGAACATCCTAATATCAACATGTCCAATGGGGAAAGAAAATATACCTTGGAGCTAGATGAAATCAAGCCAACCATTCCAGGCATGGGCCTCATGTGAACTCCACGGTCATTATTAATCACCTTTAAAAGCAACCAAGGAATCAAAACTTCTGTTATATCCAGGTGATTAAATAGCAAAGTAAACAACAATCTAATCCTCTACCTGTATCTGTCTTATCTTGACCATAGATTTCTTCGTCCTTTCACGGCACAATTTATGATACTCCTCAATGTTCTGCTCATGGGGCTTCATGTCAAATTTATGTTCCACTTTTCCTTCCATGGCGACCTTCCCTATAAATAATTGAAAAGATTTTGCAAATAGTAGAAATCCAAAACAAGTAGCTAATATCAGTGTACAAAGAAAAGCAGATATCAGCGCAAAGCATACTATCATGGATTAGATCAAAAACATGTAGACTGCATCTGTTTGAAACATCCGAATTGCATACTCATGAGTAATGAACAAGTGCCTTCAGAAGTATGATGCTCATATACAATAAACATGCATACTCGTGAATGAGAGGTCCCTTATTAATATTTCTGCAAATTGCAATGTTCAACATCAATCTTCACATCAAGTATTGTACTTGAGTCAATAATAACAAATGACAGGAGATAATTATTGAAATTGAGTTGAATCATAAAGGATTGAAAATACAAACATCCACAAAAACCAATAAAGGGCTAGCGAGATCCTCAAGAATTGTTTGAATCCTGACTCACCAGTCAAAAGAATCACAAAATTTCTTCCACAAAAAAAAAAAAAATGTGAAAAATCATCCAGTAGTTACAAACTGGATCCTCACCTTGAGGTGTCTCAGAAAAGACGCACATAGGAACAAAGTCTTTAAACATATTCAAAGAATAACTCTTCGGTACATTCCCAGTCTCGGTGCGAGCCATCTCCATAGTGAACTGATTACCATTTGGAATCATGTAAGAGAGATGAAATGATGAATTACAAAGATAACATATCAAGCAACCAGATATAAACTATATGCTCTCTTTTAAAATCATTACAAGCTATTTCGGCCTCGAGAATCCACACATATACGATCATCTGATTTAAATTCCCAGATAAAAAGTACAGATTGACTTTTGCAATCAATGCCTAACAATACAGATGACTAGTGAAATAAAGCATCTTATAAATGCAAATTCAAGCGCACCAAGCAATCATCAGCTGATTGAACTATTGAACGCTTCATGATAAACTATAGGTCATATAGTTTAAGAGCTACCTTAAAAAATCCATTACACAAATTCCATTACAGCTTTAGTATCCTCGGATTTATAATTTGCTCGACTCGACTGATATAAGTAAGAATAGTTCACTGACTAAAATAAACTAGGGTTAAAGAGTTAAACGATGAAACCCTAATTATTAAAAAAAATCAAACATTGAGCGCAAATTGAGAAGACGAAGAGTACCTGAAGAGCAGAGGGATCGTCAGATTGGAGAGGATCGAGGGAGAGAACGACTTTAGCAAGAGGGGCAGAATCTGAAGAAGAAGGGGAGGTATGATTTTTCCATGACTTCGCAACCACTACTGGACACTTCATCAACCAAACAGATCTGTCTGCCTTTGATGTTTCTAAATTAGCGCTGCTACTGCTGTTATCCTCTTCCATCTCCCTGCTTGATTTTTCTTGCTCGAATTTTGCTTGTCTTTCTCGTTCAGTTTTTTTGAGATTTTTACTGCTTTGCTTCCCAGTCTTGTCTCGTCTAATCTTCTCTTTATTGACGCTGTTGTTTTGAGAGGTGAACCGAGGACCCTTTCCTTGAACCGGATTCGAATTAGGGTCCACTTTAGTTAATGAATGGTCAGAGTTTTTTAGTGTGGAGATTTTAATATAAAAAAATTATTTAAAAATTTTATTTTTAGTTGTTATTATTTTAATTAAAATATATATTTTATTTATTTTATTTTTTAATA